GGCCAAAGAAAATGCGAGCTGATTTACAACCGGCATTTACTTTGCGAGAGCATTCCCTCCTTACTGAAGATAAATCGACAGGAGCCGCGCATTTACTTCTCCTGTCTTTTCTTCCATACCCCTTCCAAGATTTACACTTGAAGATGGTTAAATCTACTAACACGCGCGGGTGTATAAGCGGCGCTATCGCCTTCGTGCGCAACGGAGATTTCTACATCCGCTATTCCACTTCACAGGGGAATGTGCGCAGGGATTTACTTTCTCGTTTACCGCATCTAAATGAATTTATCTGTTCAATTTCTTTCTTCAACTCTCTTCCGCCCTTTCATAAGACGCGATGTCAAAATTATTTTTCGTTTGATAATGGAACGCCATTAATCATAGCTAATGAAAACTAAACGTTGACTTTCGCCGCCGCCGCCGCTGCCGCCGCCGCCGTCGTCGTCGACGACGACGACGACGACAACGACGATTTATTTCCGCTCGCGCGTTCGAGCTCTTATACCTACGTGCTCTAACACCAAAGATACGCAGGGATCAATGCGTGGCAGCGCTCAATAAATCTGATATAAATCGATAAATCTTACTTTCCAAGATATTACGAGGACAAGATAAGTACAAGCGTAAACCCTCCGTCCGGAAGAGAATCTGCTACTCTGTTAGATTATCGCGTCTCGCCACAAGATTCAGTGCCCTCTCTCTCTCGAGCTTATTTCCATTTACATTCGCCACTTCTACTCGTGAGACCCCTGACTCTTTTATGACTGGCCGAGCACCGCCCATAACCGGCGCTTCAAACATCCTTTTACTTGGGTATCCCGTGCGGGAAATTTTTTTATTACATCCATAAGAACAGAAGGACGAGAGGGTGAAAAGAGGAAGCAGTAAAATTGTAAATGCAAAGGTCGTTTATAGCTGATGTAACCTGGTCGTTTAACGACCTGATATAACCTGCTCGATCTTTCGATTGATAAGATATGTAATCAAAAATTCGCATTGAAAAAGTAGTATATCTATTGTATTGAATATAATGTACAACGACAGATTTCGATATTTTTACAATTGACACCTTTGATATCTCGAAGCACTTAGAAGGACAATCGTAATGACATTTAATCGGTGATGAAGGTCTCGCTTCGAAGACAAGCAGAGAGAGAGAGAAACTCGACACTCAATTATCAAGAGCTTTTGCATCGCGTGAATGTCGAAGATATATACATATACAGAATCATATTCGCATTGTTCGCCTCATAAGAACACTTTTGAGAAAATGAGTAAAGTGCGAAGTTGATTTTAACCCAGTTTGTAAATCCTATTAAAAAGTATAGCGGTGTCTCTGTAAAACTGAAACTTTCCTTAAATGTCCAGACAAGGGCTGTGATGATATTCAGCGATCAAATTCAGTGACCTATTTTTATAACGCGAACAGACAGAGAGTTCCGAGATTTTTTCTTTTTTCTTTTTTTGTTTTTTGTTTTTTTTTTGTTTTTTTACAAGCCAGATGTGGATGGGAAGAATGTTCTCTGCGTCGATTTTAATATTATCCGCTCAAATAAGATTAAATTTGTTGTTTAACGAGGATTATTTTATATCGAGGGGATATACCGCGTTCATACACAAAAATTATGCTCTGCGAATTAACGTGAAAAAGCGTATAAATCTAGGTAATTGCGACTCAAACCAAATTTACGTAAGTCTTTTACGCTTACAAAATTAATGAAATTTTTGTTACCTTTTGCGTATTAGCGCGCGCAATGTAAAACGCTCGGCGTGTTAATCGCACCGAGTTGATATTTGTGCATACAACGCGCAAATAATTATGCATTTAATATTTTATTTGAATCAATGAATCTCGCGAATTTTTAAAAATAAAATGCAGTTATTAAAGAGCGAATTTGTTTAATAATAAAATCTCGAAAAGAGGAGCATTTCTGTGAAAAATAATGCTGAGAGAGAGATATTAGCATCGAGAGGTATTTATAGCAAATATTCCACGACTCTCTGCACATTAATGCCTTCAATTAAAGCACGCGTTCAAATTTACTAATTGTACCAAATCAGCAGCTTGGCTTAATTATAAAACGCCCGAAATTAATTTCGCCAGCGCGACAAACGTTGCAGGTTGAAAACCGTTCGTGTTACATGATACAATAACACATGTGTTGTATATATATATAGTATATATATATTTTTTTTTTTCGTTTTGTTTTTTATATATAGTAGCGATCAAGAGAATAAAATTCGCACTTCACTCCGAACAACGATTCTATTTGATCTGTATAAAACGCTGCCATGCAGTCAATTGTTGTAGCACGAAACAAGAGAACTTCCCATTTGATCAATAGTAGTTACAACTTCGTAACTTTTTTCCAAAATCTATCGCGCATTGTGTATCGCACGCGTGCGGAATAACCCAGTTCGGACAATCTCGAAAAAATACACTCCACATTCCGCCGAAGAGAGAAAGAGAGAGAGAGGGAAATGTGATTACGTATCTTTGAATGGTAGAGAGCGTAAAATGAGACGAATAGATATATTATAGTCCCTTTTGCAAAAGGACCGACTTGAAATTTTCCCATGCACAAAACACAATTAATGTGGCGCATTCATATACATCAGGATATTTTATATGATGCAATGATGCATAGAATATGTGAGGAGAAGGGAAGGGGAAAGGAAATTAGTCAGAAGTGACACACAGTCGTGCCTCAGGAATTTCATATTCATCCCACATCTGCGAAACCAAATTATATCGCGGTGTCCCACGTAATCGTCCGAAATCGTTGGTGCTCAGAATCGCATTCGGCAGTTACAAGCGTGTGCAACTAATTTTACCCCAGCAGCACTAAACGCAACCTACTTTACATGTTACTAACACACACGGGTATCGGTTGTACGAGCGCGAAGCGCGAGAAGAAAAGTTGTTTATATGTTGTTTATTTCTACAACTTTATACTGATATTAAATGTTGCAAAACTATCAAAATATACGCAGTAAAATTCTAAACACTGTGTTGCCGAAAGCAAATATTTTTACAAAAGTATAAAAATATATAAATATATAAATCTTGATCGGTAAAAAACATGTTGTTTGTGACTTGTTTAAATAAGAATAAAAACAAAAAATTTGCACCGCACACCGGAAGCAAGATTATATTTTCAAGCATTTCGCGTGTCTCATGAATATCTCATTAAAATTTGTTATTTTAAAAAAATCGATATTTTAAAAAACACATTAAATTGTCTCGTAGAGTATGACCTTGTACTGATGAACAGCGAAGCGACAATCGGCTCAAGAACTTCGTCTGCATGTGGAGTACGACCCAATTCTAACAAGCATGTCCCGTAATTACGAAAACGTCGAAACGCGAAACGGTGCATTGTTGAAATCCTAGTTTTATTCGATATAGTTGTAGTACAATTACTAGCTTGCTGTTCGCACAAGAACAAACTGTACGATTAACGGATAGAATTTGTATCTTGATAAAAACTGAATTTGCCATTTGAAATCTGCGTTACGTTATTTTTAAAGAATTTCGATTAAAAGAGTAAAAAAGCTTTGAAAAAAAAAGAAACTAAAAATAAAACGAAATAAAAACAACAACACTTTTATGCAATTGTGTAACTGTGCAAACTATAAATCTGTCTACGGATATGTGCAATATGGCCGTGTCCTGCTCAACGAACGGAGACAATTCTTCGCGATTGTAACAACGGCGTCTCGCGATAATATTTATTACTATTAGAAAATATTATAAAAGATAAGTCAAAAAATTTATAAGATCGTATCTCTTGACAATTTTTTCTTAGTAAAATATTTGTATATCTGAATACCGCGACTTATGAATTATCTACAAGTGCTAACACACTTTTCTGTCTGACAATATCGCAAGACAGCTCTTGCGAGGATTGATTAAAGCTCGTTATCTCGTTGCGCATTTACCGTTGCGCACAATTTACATATAATTAGCGAAGAAAAAGAGGAAAATTGGAGAAAAATTCTCAATTATAAAAATACATAACTTTGCACAGAATAAATAAATAAATTTTACGAAAATTGTGTCAAATTTAGAAAATTACTTTTTGCAGAAAAAATTAATTTAAAAAATAGTACCGCGTTTAATATAAATTTTTCCTCTTCTGTGATTAATTTATTTTTTTAAACCGCGTTTAGAAAAGCGAAACAATATCATTCGCACGTGAAATAACAAGAGAGATCCTCAGAATTCTGAATAATGACCAAGAGATACGAGAGAGCAAACTAGTTCGTATCTCTCGCGCTTGGTACTTCCCAGTCATCCTCGACGACTTTATAGCGCGTCGAAGCACAGAAACTATTGCATTCACGCCTCGAATTACAGCGAGAGTCGACCAAGTCTCGGCTCTGCGAGATATATATACGCTCTCTCTCTCGCAGGTAGGAGAGACACGCACCACAAATCCGTGCGGCGACGTGAAATACCCCCCAGCAGCACTAGTCTGGCTGCTATATGTACCCTATGTGGAAACAAGAGAGAACAACCCTTCGGACCATCGCGCGACGACGATGGCAGCGGCTGCGACGACAACGGCGGAGACGACGACGACGACGACGACACCGAAACTCGTTAAACTTCTCGCACACGCGAAACGGGCGAGCGCGCGTGTGAGTAACAAAATTCCTACTCCCGTTGGGTGGTGGTCGCAGTTCGCACGGGATTCAATTAGCACCGCGGCAGTGAATTTAACACTCGTGAACGAGGGGGACGGATTCTGTCGGGAAGACGCGAGTAAGGGGGAGAACTTTGGGGATGTTACTCGGAAACGTTAATCAACACGTTTGGCAAAAGCCAATCATGAGGATCAAACATAAGTTGTTTACTAAACGGCACCCGCGCCGTATCGCTCGTTAAACAAGCGCGCAAGACCGACGAGTGTTTGCCGATAGGGAAACCTCGCTCGCTTGGTGGCAAAAGAGGCTTATTCGGCGCGACACGCACGTTGATCTATTTTTCCACTCACCGGATGCGACGGGGTTGTTGTCGGTCCATGCACTTCTCGCGATCATGGACAGCAGCAACACGGCGCCAGTCAACAGCCGTAGTCGGCCCCGCACGTTTCCCGGAACACGTTGGACACGCTGTTCACTGATCATCGCGGTAGCGGGTGAACGAGAGGGTGCGCGAACGGCATCCCGACTGAAGGGTCGCGCCGAAGAGCGTGTTTCTCTAGCTCCTGTATCATCCCCTCTCTTTTCCCGCCACGCGCAGACGCCTCCGCGCGACGGGAAGCTTCCGCGCGACTCTTGTGAGCCAACCATCCCCCTCTACCAAAAGCGCCGTCTTAATCCCACTCACTTATCTCTTATCAATAGGTGACGATTAATTATCCCTCCACTCTCTCTCCCTACGCGTCGCACAGCCGCTGCGCTTTCGGGGTCGCTCTCACAACCTGTGGCACGCTCCTCTTCCCACTTGGGAACGGGTATGTCTTTTGGCATGAGCCCTGAGGACGGAAGAGATGAACGCGGGAATAATATGACTTCGTCGATGCCGAAAGGGTCGGCTTGGCTCGATTTATGGCTAACCGCGATCCGTAATTCGCGCCCAGAGGATTCAGAGAGCGCGCCCTCACACACGACGACGCGACATATAAAATTTCACGAGGAGTATGTTATACGAGAATTTATTAAAAACTACGTAATGCTAACGCGCCGCGCTAAATTTAAAAAAAAAAAAAAAAGCAAGGCGCTCCGTCATATAAAGTATATAAATTTACATGGAAAGTGGAAAACATAAATCGAGTTTAGTAAATGAGTCCAGCTGTTGGATAGTGAGTTAAAATTATACCAGTAACTGTCTTCCTGTCTACATTACCCCCGTTGCGTCGCTTAATTATTCGAAATATAAATAACGCAGTCGCAAAAATTCTTTACATTTGCGCGCTTTGAGAAACCCGATGCTTTTTTCATTCGCTCGGCAAAAATGAAGTATTCGTCTTCCGGGAAAGTGTCCGTGGAATAAGTTAACATAAGTTTCGCGTTTAAAACGCGCGACCGGATGTACGTAACTTGTCTAAGCAGAGAGAGAAGAACGCTCAAGTAGAATTAATTTCATGTCGTTTCGAGTCAAACGTAAGTACTTCAAATTGAAAACCTGCAATTTGTTTTCAAGTGAGACTCCAACTTTCATCTACTCGAAATTTAAAATGAAGAAGGTAAATTTCCTAGGAATCGATATCTCTTCTTTTTTTTTTTTTTTTTTTTGTTTTAAATGCACGCCTTTGTTTTATATATATATATTTCGTACATCCCATCTCTTCCTCTCCCATTACATACTTTTACTTCTGTGTAAGCGGGGCTGAATATATCGCTTGAAGTTTTAAAATTTACAAAATTGCAAAATAATAACGACATTATTATTGCATACTAGCATTAATGTGCGTAATGTAAAATGCACGCACATGTTTAGATAGATTTACATAGAAATATTCAAAATTACAATGTCGATATTAATTGTGGATTAGTCTATTAATATTCAATCCGTTATATATTTTATGTAATATCAGCGTATGGATTTAGTGCTTAAATATTTTCATCAATGTTCCAAATATGAGCAACTAATATAGTAAGAGAGAAAGTAAACAAGTTTGACACTTATTTCGTAACGAGACGCGTATTAAATACACATATTTTGCAATATCTGTATCTGTTTGGAAAGAGAGAGAGAGAGTGTGTGTGTGTATTGCAAGATTAAATCTTGGCCGTATCAAATACATGATATTGCACATGTAACTTTCATCTATTGGCTGCAGATATTAGTTCGGCCGTTACATAAGCGCAATTTGGAAGTTCATACATATTCAGCCAATCCATTCGCCTTCACGTGGAATAAACGATAAAGATAATTGATCGCGCGAAATATCGATTATATCGGGAATAGTTTAATAGGTTTTGCCGGAAAGTGTGATTAATAAATCTGCAAAGGAAATACAATTTTCATTGACACGTGATGGACGGTGGGGATTTTTTTGCCAGTCCTTAATTACTACAGTCTGTCGAAAAAAGAATTCCGTCACTTCGTAATGAATCGCTTTTGAATTTGATTAATGTTCGCGCGCGCGCGCAAGTAGTATAAGTTTTGCACAAATAATACATCTGAAGATTATATACACGCGTGTGCGCGTGTGCGTTCTCTAAACCATGACGGTTTTGTCATAGCGTTATATTGTTATTTCAATAACGATAAAATTTACATTAACTTTCGCACGTAATTGTACTACATTAACGCGCGATTATACTTCCGGTATTACACTTGCAATTTATCCATAGCTAATCATCTGCTGAGATTGTAATAATAGTACACAATATTATTGTGTGTCACATACAATTTCGCGTGTGCGCGCGCGCGCGTCACCAACAACGAGAGATTATGTATTTTTACATTGTATAAATATTGCAGAGCGCGTAATGTCGAAACGCGTATTACGTTTCATATGCAATATGCAACAAACGCAAATACTATTGACGCAGTTAAACTATTGAAAATTCGGTCTCGTCTGATTACACTTGCGTTTTGCGCTCGTTTTCGCGCGATTAGTACGTGATAAATCACAGGATTTTGCGTATACAGGGACGACGTTTTTGACGTTCCTCCCTCATTCAATGCGCCCGCGGCAGTCAGGCAAAATAACGCGTAAACAGCCTGGTAATCGTCGCTTCCGCGCGTTTCAGACCCGGAGCGGAATCTCGCGGAGTGAATAATGCTCCCCTCCGTAGGTGTGGATTGCAATATCGCGGCGTATGGAAGAACGTCGCGCACTAGATAAGCGAGTTCTTGCGGAATTCGCGCTCGGAAGGCGTGTCGGGAGACTCCAGGGCGCCAGAGAAGACGCACTGCCATTGTAGCCTCCAACTCCTGTGTGACGACGGTGGGTCCTCCTCTTCGTCCTTTGCGTCTTCGCCCCGCTGTCTCTTCCTCTCTCTCTCTCTCTCTCTCTCTCTTCGCCACCGCGTCTCTTTACCTCCCGCTGGCTGCCACGAACGCTTCCACTTTGCTGTCTCGCGTCTGTCGTCACGTACAATCCCTTCCTCCCTCTCGGCTTGCGGAATATTGTCCGCCAACGGTATTTCAGCGCTCGTGTTGCGCGCGGTTCCGTGGAATCCGCTCCGTTTTCGAACGTCGATCGCGGCGTGCGGTACGCCGCGACGCGGCACGCCGGATCTCTCGCCGCAATAGCCGAAAGAACGAAAGGAATGCGAACACGCGGGGGATACAAAGAACATATATACCGTATTACATTACACATATGTACAGATGGTCTATATAATTTCTGTTTTACAAATTCTCTCGAAAGAAGACACAGACGTGCTTTTGCTCCCGGTTAAGTTTCGAAGCGCGCGATGTATTTAATAAGCGCATAATGTATAAGCTGGATTAAGGAAGCGCGCGTAAATCATGCGCAAGCCAACCGGACTTAGCCTATAAAGACGTGAAATCTCTATTGGGGTAGTTAGTGGCACGCGGCCAGGAGAGGATATTGCCAAGTAACAGGCAAAGAAGGAACTGAGGAACTTTCATATCGCTATTAACGGTATCTCAATTTGCAGCTTATTCGAGGGAGAGAAATCCGATTACTCTACCGAGAAAGTTTCTCTTATCCCGCAACATTAAAGTGATAACTATCTAAATATCTGATTCTCGAAAAAGAAAAGTTTTTCAAATTCCGTTTTCACAAACGGAATTTTGCCGCGAATTAGAGCCAATTACATCGAGGTAATCGCTTTCGTTTTTCTCGCGTCTCGAAATGATTCGACAAAAATTGCGGTATTCGCAACAGTTTCCTACCGACGATTTTCTCTCATATTTTGCACTTAATTGTTGTCACATGTGCGCACACACGCACACGCGCGCGCACGCGATTATATATAAAATATTACATGTATCTAATGATGAACAGTGTGAGATTCTCGAGACAAAGGGTCATAACGTCACGTTGCCATTTCTCTCTCCCCGAAAACTCGGGGAAATACACTTTGTGTTGTGGCACGTCTCGTGTTGGCGAAACAACCGGAGAGGAGCGGAAGACGACGGCCACTCCGGAAGCGAAACACGAGAGCACGCGTCGATGTGTTCGGCGAACACATCAATGGCTTCGCTAGAGCGCGCCTCTGTCTGTCGCCTGTCTCTCTGCCATAAAGTTACATCTCGCAAATTGCGTTTGTCAACACAGCGACTAATTGCCGCCGAGAATGTTACCCAACTATGAAGCGGCTCATAATTAGACTGATGCATGCCCCACGGAGAATCGAATTATTCGTCGGGTAAACGGCCAAAAAGGAGACGCGCACAATCCTCCCGTTGCGCGATCGAGAGAAGGGTAAACGCGTGCTAGAGACGACGGAGGAGGGAGGGTGAATGGCGCCCGCGTTTTCCCGAGTAAAACGGGTTGTATTTTTGCGAGCTGCGCTTCCGGACGTGCCTGCGGGGAACGCAAACGGGATCGTGACTCACATTCGCCGTCGAGCGTGCTGAATATGCGAGCTCGGCAGGCGCGCTAAACCCGGCATCGCTATGGCACACGGCGCGGAAGATTATTATGAATAAATTTGGGGTGCCCCGGTGCTCGGGGTTCGGTCATTGTCGTAATGTTCGAAATTTGCGATTTTCCAAATAGCATGTTGATAAGAATTTGAAATTCGCGTCAGGCGCGGCGCGCGAAAAGCGTAACTTGCACGCGCACCCCGTAACTCGGAGCTTCTTAATATTTATGCTCCCCCCGCTCTCGGCGCTTGACGCTGCGCTCGCGCTTTCTCGACGGTATCCGAAAGATAATTCACTTCTCGCGCGCCAAACTTTTTTCTTGTCGAATGAGAGAGCTATCGAAGTATACAACGTCGTAAAAAAAACGTGCGCTCGCTCGTTTTTTAAATCTTACAATTCTTTCGAACGATCATCGCACGCACACAGCTGTACTCTGTTAATGCGATATAAATACCCGGTCCCAGAACGGGAGATGAAATTCTTCTACAAATTGCTCTGATCGTTTGCGCGCAATGTCAAGAAGCTCGCGGTCGCAAGCTTCTTGAGGGCAACATGCGGCCACGTCGCACATGTTGACGTCGAAGTGGCAGCACTGATTGCGACGCAGAGAGCAATCTCTCTCTCTCTCTCTCTCTGTCTC